AAGTTAATATGTATGGAAAGTAATCTGTTACATCTACAATGCAATAATTACTTGATATATTGAGGTTTAGTGACTTGTTATCAATCAAAAATACCTACAAAGAATGTTGAAAGTCATTTATTTCATCTTGAAAGTATTCTATTTCACAGACACTGTTCTATCTTCCAAAGTTCACTTTACTTTGATGCGGAGGCCATTGATTAAAAGGCTTTTAGCTGTGACAAGCCTTGCAAGGTCCAGAAAGTATAACCTCAGCTGAACTTAAAAGACCTTCTCATTTTGGATACTCTGTTTTTGAGTCACTCAACTGTGACCTATGTGTGTGTTCATGACCCCTAGCACCGACCCTTAGGGTGCCAACACTAGTGCTGCAAAGAGAACACTTTTTTGTTTATGTAGGTCATAAACTCCAGATTCTGACCCTTGAAACATTCTTCATCACCTCTCTTGTAACCTGTTTGTTTGTGTATGTGGTCGCTCCAGCTCTGAACTTAGGCTAATTTATTTTGACCTTTGATTTTAACCTGACCTTGCTTGTTTCAACATGGGCTATCTGCTCCATCTTCAATACCCTCAGGGCATGTTCTCAGTTCTTTGTCCAAGTTGTGCAAAAACCTGCACTTTGATCATATCTACCTCAGCTGTTGTGTTTATCTGAAATAGAAATGAAAGCAAAAGCATGAAAGGTGAAAGACATGAAGTCACTAAGTTTGTACTTTGTGCCTGATCCAGATATCATATTGTGTTGTCATTGTTTTCCCAAAGTATTGCACAGATTTTGATGCAGCCTTGCCCCCTGCCCACTCACACTCTCTCTAACTCTCACACACACACACACACACACACACACACACACACACACACACACACACACCACACACCACACACCCCACACACATGAATATACATAAACTACGGCAGTGAATCTGCTGGAGCCAAATAACAGATGGACAGCGAGGTCAGAAATGGTGTGAATAAGGGGATAAAACACAGAGATTTAGAGAACAGATGGGCATAGAGTTCACTGAGGGGAGGGTTAAGAAACACATCCATACAATATGTGATGCAAAACACTAAATACAAATACTATACAATTTTTGCTAAAATATTCAACAGGATTTGATGCTGGCTTCAAGCGTTTCTTTTTCTCTCTTGTCAAAGTGTCAAAAAAAAAAAAAAAAGCCAAATTTGCCACCATATTGATATGCATGCAGTATATGGCCATCCTGCTGATTCTATTACATCAATAAATTACACTGCACAAATCCTACACAGCCAGGACGGTCATTGAAAGCATATACATTATATTATATTATAAATCATCATAAAGTAAAAAATGTATTGAAGTATGAAATCTGCACCGGCAGTAGGAGGTTGTTTGGGGGCACTGAATAAAATGAATGCTGAGTCACTTTACTGCTTGAGCAGTGGGTGAGCAGGAAGAAAATAGTCTAGGTATCATGGGAGCCTGCTGAGGAGAACAGGACTCTGGCATCTGTTATTACACCGGAGGAGTCACGGAAAAAAGGAGACGTAAGAGGGCAGGAAAGGGAATGGAACAAACGAGAGGAGGAATATGACGGAGGGCAGGAAAGGAGGAAAAGGTGAAAAGAAGGTATGAGAGAACTGAATGAAAAGGAAAATTATGGAGGGGCCTGGGTGGACGGGGAGGGGAGAGAAAAGTGTTCAGAGAAAGGGAAAAGAGAAGGAGAGGTGGAAGAAAGGAAAACAAGCAGAGTGCAATAGGGAAGTAGCCTGTATAGAAGGACAGAGGGACACATCTACCTACTCTCTACTTCTCAGCCTGACTCAGCATAACACGAAGTCACTTCAATTCTGCTGACTCAGCCTGGTGTTGGACAGACCCCAGGGACCCCACTGTCACCGCTGAAAGACTCCACAACAATATCATTCAGATCACTGATTCTTACTGGAGCAATGCACCACACTATGCACACAAACCTTTTCACTTCACTTTTGTGTCAAAAACATATATGTAGTCTGAAATTCTGCTGAAATTTCAAAAGAGTCCTGCAGGAATGAGAGCTGAAACCTGGAAAATAGTTCACATTTTTGCACCTCTGGTTTCAAAGTCAATGGTTTTTTTTCATGGATTTTGATTAGATGCCTGAAATAAGGTCTGTGGTTCCCTAGTAAACCCTGCCCCAGCAACTGTTTGTGCCACATCTGTAGAGGACTGTGAAAAGTTCCTGAAGTATTTTGTTGATAAGATCATCAAAGCATCAAAGCATGAATTACTCCTGCTGGCTCACTTCTACCCTCACCTGAGCCTGCACAATCCACCATGCTGTTAGATGTATTTACCCCCATTGCCCTGAGGGATTTGGTTGACATTGTGTCCCACACTAATCTCATGACTTCTAAATTTGATATTCTCCCTTCCAAGCTGTTCAAAGAGACTTTTGGAATCACTGCCCCTTGGCTTCTTTGAATTGTCAGCAAGTCTCTTCCATCTTGTGTGGCCCCAGACTATATTAAACATTATACATTAGAAATGCTACAGAAACAATGCTACAGAATAACATAGTTGAAAAAGACACCTTCATTTCCTCTTGCCTAAACTTAAACATGCAATTCATTATTTATTTATTTATTTATTTATGCAGCAGCAAGACTTCTCACAAACACTTACACCGGCTCCCCATTCAATACAGAATTCAATTTAAGATTCTATTGATTACTTTTAAATCACTAAACGGTCTGGCTCTGCTGTACATATCAGAACTCCTAACCTCCCTATTCTGCACTCAGATCAGAGAAAGGTTGTTAAAAGTTCCACGGTCTGAGAACAAAATGGGACCATGCTGATACTGTCTCAGCTCCAGCACTGTGGAACTCCCCCTCACTATCAGAACAGCTTTGTTTTTATCATTGTTCTCCCAATTTTTTTGATGTTCTTTTGTTTTATTTCTCTTTTCTTGCCAGATAATGGACATGTTTTTTGAGGTCACAGTGACCTTGACTTTTTACCACCAAATTGGAATCACTTAATCTATATATATGTGTGTATATGTGTGTGTGTTACCTACATGCAACCTAAAAATAGATTTAAAAGGTATGATGATGATGAATTTGATATGTTTTGACAGGACATGATGCCATGTCACATTTCTCTATAGTGGTTTCTTCCACCTCATGTCAATTTTATTTCAACAGTCTAATTTGCTTCAAATGCCTTTACAATCTCTACAGCATATGAGACTCCCTATCTTTAGAACCAATTATCTTTCAGCTCTAAATGCCACATAGACAGAAATTTTTTCCAGCACCAGCTATTACAGTGAGCTGCTAACAACATGCATTTGTTTATAGGACGAGAGGCCCTGAACCGTTAACGGGGGAGTGGAATACATGCCACAATATTTGTAAAAACCCCATGACGATGCTGAGTGTCAGTGACAGAGAAAGTGAGTGAAAGTGTATGACAGAAAGAGAGTACAGGAATGTCGGAGAAGCAGCAAATGAATCAGCTTGTTTCCCCAGCTGCCTTGAGGGCTAGACAGTCTGACAGGCCAGCAAATAAGGATGACTCATCCTGACTCACATAGCCCCACACACACACACACACAAACACACAGGTGGGCACACATACACAAACACAGGGTTATGGATTATCCCCACCATAAAACATGCTTTTGTGGATTTCAGTTGCCCTGAAACGAAACTTCTAATGCCCTATCAGATTCTCCTGCCCTTTTCGCAAATACTCTTTCATTAACAAAATTGTTTCTTTCACACACACACACACACACACACACACAAGCAGTCTCTTTCCCCTACTCCTCTTCTTTCTGCCTTTCCAGCTGCATTGACAAACATAGTCCTGCAGCCACTAACTTGTGACTCATCCTTATCGCCTCCTTTTAGGATGCACACACATGTGCACATCCACAATCATGAACACACACATACATGCACATCAGGTCTGCGTTCCATTCTGGCTGTCTTTTGTGAAGATGAGACGCCGGTGGTGACGGGTTTCCAGATCTTGTGGCGGTGATATCTGAACAACCTTCAAAAGGGAAAAGCTCTTTTGATCTGTCAAGTTATAGTAGTCACACACACGCACGCACTCACACAAGCAGTCGGTTACATGAACTTTGTCACCAGTCATTTGGAGGTTAGGATCCCTGTCAATTGATGTCACACCCACAGTAAAAGTTTTTTAAGGGCCATCTCTTGCAAATGAGCCAGAATGTACAAGTATGTGATGGTGATTTCTATAAAAGAATATTAGAACAGACTATAAGACTTGATGGTTTGCTTTAAGTGAGATGTAAGGTGGCAGCTTTTAAATGTGTAGTTCTTTTTAAACATTTACTGATAAGCACATTGTTTCCCCTTGTTGTGATCTAAATATTAAAATGATAAAACTGAAATTAAAAACCTACATGGAAAGATGGTAAATGAAGAAAAAAAATGATAATATGGAGATTTCACAATCTACCAAGACAAATAACCAGCATTTAACAATTCATAAACTGGAGAAAATAAAGGAAGGAGGTGAACAAGGGGTGATTGTTTCCCCTCTTTTGTAACAGGGTTCTCAGGAACAAGCTGGAGATCTCCTCCCTAAGGTCCAACCACCATACACAGTGATGTTAAGACCGGACAACAAAACTGTGTGTAACAGGATCAGCATGGGTGCCACTGAAGGTTAAGTGATGTAGGCTGAATGAGTTACCAGAGTTTGAGCGACTGTGTGCTGAGTGGTCCCCAGTGTCTCTCTGCATTATGAGCTCCTGCTTAAGAACAACTACTTGTGTGTGTGTGTAATGTGTGTGTATATGTCTTTCTAAGGTTGTGTGGACAAATTTTGGTTTGAAACCATCATTGTGAAGACACTGGGCTGTCCTCACAACTTGAAAGGGCTGTTTGAAGGTTAAGACTCGGTTGTAGTTTTAGGGTTAGAATTAGGTTTCGGTTATGGTAACGGGCGGGTGTGTGTGCGTGTGTGTGTTTGTGTTTGTGTTTGGTACCTGCTTTGGATGCATGGTGGGTCTCGTCCATCACCAGACTGTTCATACATTTAAGCTCCCAGTCCTGGACCTCAGTAGCCCACAGGGCAGGGACCAAAACAGTGTACTGGGCCCTGTGGATGGAAGTGGGTAAGGGGGAGAGAGGACGATGGGAAAACAGGTGATATAATTAAAAAAAATTTGAACATTTGAACAAAGTCTCTTAACTCCAACTCCATGCTTGACTTGACCTGAGATTGATAATGATCTTATCTCACTCTCAAAAAGAAAGCTAATACATTTGGATGGAAATGAAACATTGTTCGTAAAGTTTGTCCCAACACTGTTGTATTATTTCCCACAAACATGTTGCACTTGCAGGTTGCTTTGCTTTCACCTCCTGTCCAGTTAATAATGTCAAGCCACCATTTGGTTATTTTCCTCAAATGTTTTGGTTCATTATCTTACTGTAGGATGAACCTCTGACCTGCTGAAATCTCAATAAAAAATGGAAAAATGGGGGTTTTCTAAACCCCTGAGCAGTAGAATCTAAAACACATATCATGTCGAAAAGGTGATCAAACAAAGCAAGTGAGAACCACTGAGTGATCCTCAGTCTGAATGCATTTGAAAATTTTCAAACAGTTGAACGGGAAGGGAAAAAACTAAAGCAGAGAATTTATAGAAGCCAGTCGTGTCAGTGTGAAGTAAACAAATGATTTGTCAACCCCTCTAGCTGAAAGAGGGTGTCAATGTGTCAATGAGGATAAATGAATGAATGAAAGGAGGTATAGAGGAGGAAAGGGGGTGCAGAAAAAAAAGGGAACACAGGGGAGGCTGGATAGCCCGAGAGGTTTATGGGAATTGACTATTGCGAAGGAGGGGAGTAAACAAAAGAGAAAGAGATAGGGCTGGTGGAGGGCACCAAGAAAAACAGTGTGTATGGGAAGTGAGTAGGAGGGGGTATAGAAGGGGAGAAAGAGAGAGACAGGGCTGGGGACACGAGATATGGACTCTGAAGGGGAGACAAAAGGAGGCGCTAAGAGAAAGAGGTAAATGAGTCACAGGGGTAGTGAAGGTTGTGAGTTGTGTGGAAGCTCCTGTTTAAAAATGATGTGTCATAGTTTACTATGAAACAATAACTCAACTGTATATCATCATAAAATTTATTAAAATTTACTTATGGTTTTAATCAGTTTTAAAAAGACTATAAAATTTATTTTTCTTGTAAACAAAATACATCCTGAAGGTTTTTTTAATGGCTGGTTTAATAATTGGTTTAAGCCAGACGGTAAGAAAAATTGCAATGATTGATGACAAAAAATGTAAATTAATGACTTATTAACTGTTGGTGCAGGATTATGAGGACTTTTTTTTTCAGTTTTGTTCCAGATTTTAATTGAGATTATGGCTCAGTTCTGTCATATGTAAGTGGGCATGATTTCCTCTAAACTGGGCTGGAAAAACAAAGGACACACAGGAGAAAGCAACAGCAGCAATATGTTGGAAAAACAGACAGACAGAGAGAGACAGACAGAAACCGTATGAATCCTTCCATAGAGTGAACCTGCTCTTTGACTGGTGATGTGGGGTGTTTTGGGAACCATTGTTGCAACCTGTGACCGAGGTGACAGCTGATTGACAGCCCCATGTAGACAGACAGGCGCATTAGATGGATGAGCCTCTCAACCAATCATTAATCAGAATGGCCTATATGGCTGCATGACAACTCCCATTTATACCATTCACACTGAGTAACAGAGCAGAGATCCTTAAAGAAAATGAAGAGAGGTTCAAGATCTTTCCTCGCTCCCCCTCCTTCATTTCTCTCCCCAATTAGTGTACCATCCTTCTCTAGCTGCTACTCTCTCTGACTCTCCATTCATTTTCCTTTCTTTTACCCAACTAGCTCTCCCCTTCCCTCTTTCTTCAACAGTATCTTCCCAGCGTAAGGGGATCCTGCCCTGGGAGACAGTCAGACCACTTAGTGTTGACTTCTGACCAGGCTTTCATAATGATGCCAAGCAGCCAACAAGGACTTCTCAATGTGACGTGATGGCAAGCTGCCCACTGAACACCAGAGCTAGACAAAATGGGACCGTCAGTACTGCCCTTGATATATGCATATGCAAACAGCAGAGGTGGTTCACACATGGATCAAAATGTGCAGTTTCTTTTCCTGTAGCACAGAAAATATAGATTAATGTTGGAAGCCGTCTGTGTTATTAAGTTCTCACGAAAGCCAGGATTAAAACCTTGCAAATAAACCATTAAATGGTCAGTTAAACAGTCGTTTAACTGTTCTCCACAATAATACTAAAGATTTGTCCTTATAATCCACTTTGAAACTTGTTGGTGCGTACCTAGCACACCTTTTCCTAGCTCATGATAAAGTGCTTTATCACTGCCTGTGACACAGCCATGTTTATGGAAACTGCTCCATTTATCCACCTGCTTTAAAGATCTCTGTCCAAGGTCAAAAAACTTAAGTCCAAGTAATGGGACCTTTTCTACAATGAGAAGCAGACATTAAATTCAAGTAACTGAGGGGAGCTTATCTATTAAAACAAATATGATAAACTGGATTTTAATAATCACTGTGCACCAGTCCGTCACACACTGGCTGTATACACAAACCCAGTGACCCTGCTGAGTTGCCATAACTACAGCTCCATGTCAACAAAACATGTCCGCCAGCATGTGACGTTTATATTGAACATAGTGAAAGAGAGACAGAGGGGTCTGACTGAAAGCAGCGTGGGCTGCCATTGAAGAAACTAATTTAGCATAAAGGATGTTTAATCCAAACATGTACAAAATCAACCACAGCAAAACAATGACACTCTACGTTTCCTGGAATGCTCAGTGTCAAAACATGCCCAGTCCTGATGGGCCGATTGATATTCATGAGCTGCCTGGGGCCCAAATCTATAAACTGAGCTCTCAGCTCTGAGAATTGTGCTGCACATTCTTCAGTAGGACCCATCGTTTTCAGTACATTCATGAGGGTGGTCTGGGACATTATTTAGAGATGTGAGTCTCAGACAACATTTCTCATGTTATTTTTGCTAAACAAAATGTGAAAATGATCAATGTCACGAGACACTCAGAACACACTGTTTATAAGCATAGAAGCAACATTAAGTCAACACACCAGATAGTGTACATTAATAATGCTGACCCATGTACAGCTTCACTTGACTTACACATCAACAGGTACTCTCAGCAGCAGGGGTAACACTGCTCCTTCATCATTCAGCTCCATCAGTCGAGGCTCCAGGAGCTCGATGATGGTCAGAGCGATACGAAACACAGCTGACAGGCCTGAGGAGAAACAGAGGGATTTCCAAACATGCCTGCTGTAATATACATTTATACTTTATTAATATAAAGTAGGTGTAAAAGAGATAACATAGAGATGGGGTGAAAAACACTTATTACTGTGATGTACCAACTAATTTAACCAGTCTGATTAGCATACTAAGCTCTTTCCTGACACTGGACGAAACTGATTTATGCCCATATTAATACAGAAAAGTCACAGTGAAGAAAGAAGTGCTGCCTTGGACATTAAAGACCATTTATTAACCCTATCAAAAGTATCCCTCCTCCCCACTGAGTGAATGTGAGCAAATCTAAAAATAAAATAGCAAAATAATCCACAATAATGTCAGTGCATTTCATCTGCTTGCTTGTATGTGTGTGTGTTTTTGAGTGAGTAAATACCATGGAGAAAAATATGATCCCAGACAGCAAGGACAGAGTCCCAGCAGGGCAAGGAAGTGAAGAGTGTAAGGAACCATGGCATCACAAAGTGGACTGATAAGACTCCCACTGACTCCTGCAGGGAGGTTGGGAAAAACGGGGAGCGTTGATTTTGACATAAACAAACAATGAATTCAAGAGTCGTTTCTCTGCCAGTTTCTGCCAAATAAACTCCTTTACAGACCTCCTAAATGAAATGTTCTTCCATGATGCATGCAATAAACTTAGTGCTATAACTTTAGCGCTTTATACTTTCTGCTAAATGTTGTTACAGACTAATTAACAACCATCAGAGTGTGTTTGTAACATTTCAAATAATTCTTGTGTGTAATTATCACTGCTTGAAACTGTGAACATGTGCCTTGAAAAATAAGATATCATGCATCCCTCATTTTTAAGCCTGGCACTTAGCCTGTGTTTACTCAGATCTGGAGGGTACAGCACAAGTCCAAAAACTTGTTTACAGCTTGCTTGCCTTAACTGTGCTGAACAGCTCTATTACAAAGGAAACGCTGACCTCTGGTCTCTAATAGGCTTTTCTGTAAGAGGGGGAAAGTATTGTGCTGATAATAAGGCTCTGTGGTGTGTGTATGTGTGTGTGTTTTGGCTCCAAAAGGGCAGCTTTGCTTCCAGACCTGCTGAGTCAACGTGAAGTATAACAATCCCTTCAAAGACACAGCAGCATAAATGGTGGCAGTGAATGCATTAGTGTGTGCACACTCTTAGACTGAAGATTTTGAAAGGAGAAAAACGTTTCAACTGCAACATGGCAGAACAAGAAGAAGACTCACTGTTTTCAAAACTGAAATTTAGAAAATCATTCTTGAAATAGACTAAGACTCTACAGCTCAGCTAGCAGCTCTGTGGGACTGAATGTAGGCACAGCAGCACTTTGAGCTAAATGCTAAAATAAGCTGATGGAAATATTATTGGTTATGCTGGTATTTGGTCTTAATTGGTCTTTGGTCTTATTACAATACATCCTGTGGTAGACATGAATATCTGCACCGAATTTCCTGGCAATCCATCTTGCTTTGAGAAATAACTCTCAGCTCAGTTATGTTTAATCAGCACTTTACTCTTTGTTTTTAGTTACCAATACCATTTTCTGAGCAAACCTCATCATAATACCTTGTTCTCTGTAAAATGCAGTGATCAGTTTTTGAAGCAAAACAACATTTGAATCTGTAAAAACCAAACAGCGATCATGTCATTGGGACATTTTCAGACCTTTGCAGATTTTCACAGGACATAACAAACTTATGCTGAACACACATTTCTCATAAAACAAAAAAAGAATAAGGTATATAATAGAATTAGCCCTAATAATAATACAGCTAAACATTTAAGTCTAGACACCGTAGGTCAAAATAAATAAAATACCAGTAGACGTCTCTCAAAATCATACAGACCATTGAACACTTTTTGTAAGCTGATTTTCTTTGGGCAAAAGAAATCCAGCTGAAGCTACATGTCCCATTTCATGAGATGATGTGAAATTTGCTTGTGTGGATCTCACTTTTGTTTTCACTATATAACTAATTGTAAAAGGTGATTTTTGTCTGCAGTGAGAGTCAATAAATGCACTTAGTAAAAATATTGTATTTAAACAGCAAACAAAACAGTAGGGACTGAGGGAGAAATTTCACAACTGTAGGTTTGTGCCTCCCAGTACAACCACTAATATTGCCACCATGACAAGCCTGGAGAGAGTAAATGACAGAAGAGGCCCAACTGATGACAGATATATTACAGTGGCCCCCTCCTTCACAGATGAACTACTCATCACTTGGCCATATATGGCCTTAAACACTAATGCACACACATGCACACACATGCACACACACTTTTCTTGACATCAAGTTTTTTGTTTGGATTTTTTAGAGTATTTTCCATCTGAGGCAAGTCAAATCATCCCAGTGCAAACAGAAGCACCCACATTTCCTCGCAGTGTCAATGTCTAATCATAATCATTACCGTGTTGAAATTCATAACTGCATGTTTCTCAGTCAGTCCGGATTAAAGTATATCATCAGGCTTTCGTTCTATATACAGTACAAACACTGAGTGAAAATCTGAGCTAAAATGAAAATCCAAAGACACTCACCATGTGCTGAGAGAGCTTTGGCTTCCTGTGTTTCAGGAATTGGTCAAACACCTTCACCTGATGTTGGACCCTGATTAGACCACAAATAACAGCATTGTTTAGCATAAAGCAGCTGTTCCACAGATCACCAGCTCCAAGAAAGACTTTGGTAGATAAACTAAATTTTAAACATCAATATATACTATTGTCAAAGGCCTACATGGAAGTGATTTTTTATCATATCTGTATTACTGCAAGATATTAAAATTAAAAACTAAAAAACTAAAATTAAAAAGACCTTACTTTCCCACATCCTAATGTAAAAGCTGTGTTGCAACATGCTGGGCTACTGTTTCTCTGGATTAATATGTCTATTTACACTCATAACATATGGTAAAGATTTCTTCATGAATTTGATGACACACACCTTAAAAAAAATAAAATAAACTTTTTTCCTGATTTTCATTCATTTTACACAAATCACTGAATGTTGGGTTTTAAAAGTACATACTAAGTACTTCTTAAATCTCCTATATTATCAGTTTACAGATAGATATTATTTCATCATTATATATTGTGAGCCCATTCTTACTTGGTGAGGCTGAGGTCAAACAGTTCAGCCAGATATCTGGGTTTATCCAACAGGGCGGTCAAAGCCCAAAATGCCTCCTCCTCTCCCAACTGCATCAGCAGCACAGCAGCTATGTAGGACATCCCTGTGACAAACACACACACACACACACACACACACAAAACACATCAATACTGCATTTCCTACAGGATAAAAATATTTAAGGTACAGGATCTAACATGTTTTATCAAATGCCTGAGACAATGAAAATTGTTTCAGAAACAATAGCAGGAGGGTACACTGCTGAGCAGAATGACAGCATGTATCCACACTTTGTACAACAAATTATGGATATCTGCCATTGACTTAACCTCTGAATCTTTCCTCCTAAATTTGATATATATTTCATATGAAAGCGACATACAAGGCAGGACATACTGGGATGCAGAGAGTTAATGCTGTTGACTCTAAAACACGAATTGGAAGGGAAGTTTCATTTTAATTGGATTTTACACTTACTGGTATGCCATGCTGTCACAATTAATGACAGTATTTTCCAGAAACAAAAAGGAAAACATTTCAGAATATTTTTCTGATCTGAACCTAATATTTTAAGAGAAAACATTTACATAATTGCTTTATAAAAAAATAGAAATAAAAAAATAAAAAATTTCAATCAGATTTTAGCATAATTGATTTTTTAATTCAATTCCCTCCATCAAATACTTTAAATAAACTCTAATATTCCAGATAAAAAAAAAGGTAATTAGTCCTAGGTATTTTATGGCATGCAAACTTGTAATTATGTAGAAATTTAGAAAGTCATGTTTCATTTCATTGAGCACAAAGCAGGGAGGCTCCTGCATGATGAAGTCACTCTATAAATTATTGGTCCTCTGCTTCCATCAAGTGGTCACATCAAGTAATGTAGCTATCTGTAGCAAATAACTCCCCAGTTGACTCATGACTGCCTCAGCATTTTAAATAAAACAGTCACTATTCTAGCATTCTAGTACTAGTATTAATATTAGTATTAATAGTATGGTAGTAAGTATTAATACTAGTACTAGACATTCCTTATGTTCATTTTCACCCATGCTTCAATACAGAGAAGCATGTGTTTCTTCATATTTTAGATTTGCCTGACATGTTCACAAGTTCTTCTTTCCTTCCCTGTCAAAGATTTGTCCATCATGTACTTTTAATATTGTTTGATCTTTTGAAAAAGTCGCAATACCAGAAACAGTTTTAAAACCATAGAAAGTGTGTCCTTGGAGTCGGTTACCTTGGCTGTATCCAACCTGTGGGTTGTACTTGGCATAGGCAATGAGGACCCTGAAAAGCTTGGCCTGACCCTCGATGGCTTCTGGGCTCTCCCCCATCAGAGAGCGGTGGGTTGGGAAGGAGCGCTCTATGAAAACAGGTCAAATTAATATGAAGTACATTTCCATTTTCCTCCAACAATAAACCAAAAGTCTATTCCTACCTAGTGTACTCTGATATTTGATTTTCTTTTTCATTTGCATTCATTTCTCAAGTTCAACCCTGATCATTACATAACTTCTACCTTAAACCTAGACATGGTGCAATACTAGAAAAGAAGTGCACTGTATGATGTGGTACCAGAATTGTGGTGTAAGTGACTTTAAATACAACCTCAATTACTGCCTTGGTAAGTGGTTCGGTTGTCAACAGGGCGGCAAAACAATCTTCAACGTACACACAAAGCTTATAATGATATGGCCCTGTTTGAACTCACGCAGGTCCAAGGCAATCTGTCGAAACAATGTGATGTCATCTACAGAGTAGCAGGTATCAGGACAGCTGGAGGACTGCTGATGATTCAAGTCCAGATCATTCTGTGTGTCGCTGAGTGTTGCTATTGCTGAGAGGATGCCGTACTCACTGACACCCAAGTCCACCAGGGGCCCTCGCACCTCTGACAAGCACTTCTGTAGGTGAAAGCACAATATTCCCTTGTTAGAATTAAATTAAGACACAAGTGCTGCTATGAATGAATAAAAGAGTAGGGGGAGGGATTGTCACTCATGACCAGGTTTGGTCATGGACTGGATAAATGTATAAAATCATGGTTTTGGGTCGTGGTGGGGGAAAATTGAGCTTTTCAAAGCACTGAGCCACTATGAAACAGTTGTACTAAAGATGGTTAATTGTTTCAAAGCATTTGCAGTCAAAATTGCGACATCTGCTGGGCAACCACTGCTGCTGATTTTGTATGAAAGACATAATGTCACTGCGAGCCACAACACAAGTGTTCTCACTGCTGCCACACTTCAGCTTTGAGAGATACTGTGTTGAGTAGTTTGTCTTGAGCAAAAAATAACAAGTTGTGGGAATGCCCTCTTTCACTGGTTGTTCTAGTGCACTATGATAATGCACTTGTGAATTCAAACTAGGGCTGCAACTAACACTCGTCTTCCCAATCAAATCTGCAGATCAATCAATTAATTGTTTCATCAGAAAATAGTGAAAAATAACTCAGGCCAAGGTCACATATTAAAATTGTTCATTTTGTATGACCAACAGTCTGAAGCCCAAAGATGTTCAATTTACACCGATATAAAAGAGAAAGGTTCCTCTTGACTAATAGATTAATTGTTTGCAGTAATACAACAAAAAAACAGCAAATCCTCAAAACTGAGAGGCTGAAACAAGGAAATGTTTGTCATTTTTTGTTTGTTTTTGCTTAACAATTGACTGAAACAATTAATTATCAAAGTATTTGTCATTTATTTTTTAGATAAGTGATTAATCAACTAATCATTTCAGCTCTAAATTGCAGACTGAATTCCCATCTGCAACCCATAGTAGGTGATTTTACAATTTTGACATTAATGATACAGAGATGGCTGTTGAAAATATTTTTTTTGGTATTTTGGCATTTGAATATTGTATTGCTAATTTAATTGTGGAAATCACTCCCTCAACTAATGTATGTATTTTTTAAAGTAACACAAAAGCAATCGTAAAATATTAAGTGGCACTGTTTAAAAAATATTTTGTTTTGACTCCCAGCCTCACAGCATAATCCTACAAGTGTGTACTACTCGAAGCAATGTTACTCACATAAAGATGACAAGTCTTTTCTTTCCAGTGCACATCTCATTGTATTTTACCTGGTAGTTGAAGTCACTGCTTTCTCTCAGACTTTCAGTGTTGAGAAGACACTTCCACACTCTGCCTCGCAGGCTCGGAGGAATACCCATTCTGATAAATCGCTCAATCTGAAAACACAACAAGAGAGTGAAAAGGCTGCATGTTTAAACAATTACTGTGTGGTAAAACATTACAGCCAATGATTATAACTTTTTTGTAGTTTCTCACCTGGCTCTTGCAAATAAAGCTGGCTCCATTCCAGTAGCTGAGCAGCTCACACAGCTCTTTGACCCTCAGTGAGCTCAGCTGGGGGTAGCTGACAAAGACAACACAACACAGTGAGCCTGGACTGATTCATCACTTTTTGGAATCAGGCAGATATTGGCATTTTCTGTAAAAACAAACACTGGCCATTGAGTGTTTAACATCTGATTCCAAGAAGGATGATCATCAATGACTTCAACCGGCCTGAGTTAATGCATCTCTGCTGATGTGATTCAATTTATCATGTGCTCCCTGAGCAAGCACCTGCTGATGTGATTTAATACTGATTCTAGTATTGATATTTTTCACAGTGCTATTGTGTTTATTTACATGTGACCAGTGAAATCCTTACAGTATGGTGTGAGAAATATCAATTCATTATTTCACAAATTTTACAAGCAAAAGTGCCAAACATTTGACAGTTTCAAGTTATTAGATGTTCGAATTTGCTGCTCTACTTTGTCTCACATTATTGTCAATTGAATATGTTCACGCTTTGGACTGGTGGTTGAACAAAACAAGACATCTCAAGACGTCACCTTGTGTTCTGGGATACTGTGATTGGCATTTCTCAGTATTTTCTGAGGTTTATTTATTTACTTTTTGTTTTGTTTTGCAGGTCAAATGATTCATAAAGAAAATAATGGGCAGATTAATTGATAATGAAAATAATTGTTGCTTGCTGCTCTAGTTTCCAGTATTGAAAAGCTACAATTGGACCTACCAGAACTATTTAATCCAAATAAAGGAAATAATTTGTGTTGCTTTGTCAATAGAGAAATTTACATTACGCATAATAAATGCCGTTTTGTTGGTTTGTCTACTCTGAAAACAAAGATATTCTTATTTATCTATTCATTTTGTTTTATTTTTGAAGTCTTTAATTTAACTTAATCCATCCATCACCGAACAATAATTGGAACAATGTTGGCAATGACTTTTCATATCTTAAACTTACGGTACATGAGTAACCAACATGTTGTCAACACTTGAGACACTTCAAATGACACGAACTGATAAACATTTTCAGTTATTCTAACACACCAAAAAAAATGACAAGCAAGTGTCCACAAACGCTTAAACCAGTTTAAACCTGCAAAGCACTGACGTTACCACCATTTAACTGACGTTTTCTGTCATTAATTAACGTTTACAAGTGAATGAAAAGAGTTACATGAAACATTATCCGTCTAACAGTACCAGATTTGTTTAAAGTCAACAGTTTCAAACGTCTCAAGAACTTTAAATGCCCTGAGCTATGACATAAAGTTCAAGGTAACGCTAAGTAGCTATCGTTAGTTTCATGCTAACTAGTTTTCAGAAGGTAGCAACTGTAACGTCACGCTGTCCCGCACCTGTAGTCATGACATCGATGATGAAGTTTTTGGTCCTTTCTTTTGGTAAGAATAGCAAAACCGAATTCATCGAAACGCAAATTCTCACTGCGTCTTCTGTTTGTTGAGCTTCTCCTACTGGCGTTGCTACTGCTTCTCTTCCTCATGGTTATAAAAAAGACAGTTGTTTGAACACAGGTTCTCTCGTTTCAAAAATCACAGCAGACAACGGTGGCCAGTTGGTGAGTCGCTGCTGTCAAACTCAACGGTCGCACTAGTCTAGAACCGCCCCTTTCTTACGTCACTACCAACTGAAAATGGGCGGGATGAATCAAAGACGTTTAAACAAAGAAGAGTGGACTTGAGATCATCGCACTGGGATCTCCCTGGTGACGGTGGTCACGTGACATAGCATCAAAACAGAACTTAATTTTTTAACATTTCAAGTAACATGATAAGTAAATTCTTATTCATAAACTTGTTTTAAGCTCAGAGTTTTACATTTTTCTCTATATCCACTCTGATGATGCCACTAAAAATTTTAAATGATACATCACTCTTGGTGAGTCATACAAATACTTATAGGAAACTGTACTGCTATACTGCCCCACCATCATTTAAGCAGTATCAGAGTGCTGCTTTATGACTATGACGTAGTTTGAGCTCATCACTGCTCTCTGTATACATCCTGTAAGAAGGAATAATGATCTCATGATGTTCATCTACAAGGTACTGTTAAAGCTTCCAAACCACATCACATCTCATTTAAATCTTACAGCTACACAATAGATACTTAACTTAAATAATGCTTGTATTCTCTGAACTTTTTGGAACTAGTAACAGATAGTTTATTATATGTCCCTATATGAAATATGCAAAATGTTTAGTACACTGTGTGTGCATATGCAGGTGCAGCTAGATGACAGGTGTGTACAGGTTTGCACAGTATGTAGGTCATTAACACTTTTTAGTTGTCCAGACGGTGTTTAGTAAGCAACCAGAACATGTCGATTATCACAAGTAAAATCAAGTTGTCACAAAAACTAAGCTTTCTGAGAAATTCCCAACTGTACATCACATCTGGACCAGCATACGATAGCCTTTCTTATTGTGAATATTTTCATTCATTAGGCCAATTTAATGAAAATAAACTTGAGACTTGAATGCCCTTTATTATGGTGATACAAAGTATAAAGTCTACGCATAAAATGCCTTTGGGTGGACATGATCTTTATGTCTGTAATGATTAACAGCAATAAAGGTAGCATCCATTGCCAGCAAAGGATCACTATACTGAAAAACAGTACATTATAAACTACTCATCAGATGATACCGTTTCTAAACTGATGCTTTTATAAGTGATGTGTATTGCTGAATATTTTTTTTGAGTGATAACATGTGTTTTGAAGGATGAACATTGCAAATTATCTTCATTCTGCCACGACTTGGTCATTTCTGCGTGTTTCCACTTTGTATATCGTCTGGTAACCGTCGTCCCAGGCGTACAGCTGTTTCTCTCCGGGGTGGTAGTGGATGCTGCTGTGGCTGGTGTAGCGCTTTGGGAAGAACATCACAGGACTCTCATCGCTGCAGATACATGGAACGGAAAAGAGAAAATGTTTAATTAGTTAGCAAACAGGTTCAGTTGAGAAAGAAATTATATGATTCATAAGTCTAAAATTAGAGAAACCATTGCTGATAATTGATAAATTTATTTTCATGGTGTGTCTATGTGAACTTTAACCTTGTTTCCTGTTTTTCACAGTGTGTGTAGGCTATATCCAGTCTATATGTTTTGTGTTTGTCTGTGTATAAACCAACCTGTGGATAGAATCATGGATGTCATAGAGACACTGTATGGTGGAACGTCCTCCATAGCGTGTGTTGTAGACCACGTAGAGGGTCCCACATATAAGGAACGCACCTTCAGCATCACGACTTTTACATTGTGTATCCCAGGTATAGTCTACTGCCAAAGTTCCTGAGGTATAGAAAGAAAACAAAAGTACTAAGTATAGATTAGGTTACTTATATATGATTGTATATGTATATGTGCGGTAATCTCTACCTTTATCCAGTTTGGTAATAACCAGGTTTCCTCCATACTCAGGGTCAGCATGGATGACCCAGAGGCCGAGTTCATCCACAGCGAGGTCCAGATAGGTGTTGGGGTTCAGACTGTAGACTGGGAGGCGACCTGCTCCTGGCAGAAGTGTGCTATCCACCACTGTACCATTCACCAGGTCTACCTTTATGTGATGGAAACCATTGGAAACAGACTCATTCATAAATGCTCATCATGTTTTTATTTTTTATAAGCTGTGCCAGGTATCTTTGTCACCACAGAACTGCATATGTGCAAACACATGCAAACAAGACAATGACATTTCACTTTGAACCATATACGTCAACGATGTGAACGATGTCAGCAACTAGAGATGTCTGTACAAAATAGTTGTTGAGATATTTCATATAATCCTGATACAATCCTGGTTAAAATGCTATAGTTAGGCTCTGTGAAGGTGGCGCTATACAGTACTTTAAGTTCTGCAGTAGAATAAAATGTTCCACTGCATTTTATTCTATTTTATTTTTTTGAATTCTATTTTCCCCCAGTAAACGTCTGTAGCAGTTACATCTGCTCCAAAACACTCAATGTATCTTGAGAAAAAGTCAGCTCAGTTTACTGGAACAAAATTGTTTCTTTTGGCATTCTTAGCTTACTGACCTCAGCTAACACAGAGCAGCAAAGGAAATAGGACAAAAATCAACTCCCCAGTGACAAAGATCCTTGACGTGATCTGAAGTCAGTCTCTAAAGCTGCACAGCAAGTCTACTAAACACAGCTATGAAATCAGAGTCTCACATCTGAGGCTGGAGATCAGCAGTTATAAACTGTACTCAGCAACTGTTGCCAAGTAACATGAACCCTCGCAGTGATTGTTGGATACTCTTTTTTATTTTACAAAATGGCAGAAATCAACATGAAACGTATACTGGATGGGAACATGAATGTACAGTATTAAGCTCTGACTCACCTTCAGTATCTGGTTGGGTGTATCTGCCTTATGGTAGTAGAGGAATCCATTGAAGACCACATGACCTGTCCCCTGCCACTCAGCAGGCAGCTGCACCACTTTTGCTGGGGGGGTGATGGTCCTCTCTGTGAAGCTTTGCAGAGAAACATACTCCAGCAGAGTGTTGTTACGAATTCCACTGAGCAGGTAGACCTGAAGGATTCACATGTGTGACCAGCTCACTTGCAAGTAAGAACAGTATTGTAAAACTCAGCCTATACTTTCCATTCTTAGTTGAAATATAGTGATATACTGATATTCTTAAATTGTGGTGTTGATGCAATTGGCATCTGCATCTTCTTCCACAGGAATAGAAAAAAAATGTCCTACTAAACTATGAAAAGGAGTTTTTACCTTAAAGTTTCAGTTGTATTGTGTGGATTTTTCTCTATTTTACTAAATTGATATAATAAACATAATCACAACACCCCCAAATTTACATCGAAATATAACTCTAAAGCATTATCAGTTATTTATATTATATATATTTATTATTATTTAGAAGCTGTAAACACATCTTTCACACTTCATGTTAAGCTGATTTGGCTAATAAGCTGCAGCTATCGAGTAAACATGGAACAACATTAACATTCTTTTGGAGTGTGTTTCTGGCCTTTTGACAAATGTAAGTCAAATATTTACTCTACCTCAAGCTTTATTTTGGTCACCACTCCTTGATGGAAATATCTACCTCTTTAGCAGTGCTCAATGCTAGGTGCTCCACCAGTTTAATGCTACAATTTACCACATAGCCCCTAACTTAGAGTATGCTCTTTAGTCTTATACACAGTTAGTGTATAGTGGGTTTTTTTTTTTTTTTTTGCATTGATAAGTACCTGCTGCATCTGGAAACAGGACTGATTAAAGTGATGAGAGTGAACCAAAACAGTAAAGTTACAGGCTGTAAAACCAAAACGATTAGCTGAAAAATGTTAAAAATGCTTGGCAGAGTTGTGTGGTATGGCAAAAATGGCAATAATTCTCTATGGATTTGTAGTCCCACTTTCACACAAAAATTTTCATTGGTGCAGCTTGAAAGAATGGATGTGCTGATCCAGGGTGAATTAGCCCCAAAAAAAATAATTTTGAGTGTCATGAGAAAATGTTCAGTGATCGCTCATCAGCAGCCAATATAAGATAAGCACACTCTGCTGCGAAGAAAGAAAAGCAGCTGTCTACTGTAAACATTACATTATTAGTGTAATCATCTTCAAAAAAGAACAAACCTTAGCTGATCGGTCTGAGGGATCCTTGAACCAGGAACCATAGGTGTCTCCTGCCTTCTTCACAATCTTGAGAGACTTGATTTGACTCAGGGCTGTGTTGCAATCTGTATGTGAATCCCAGAGAACACAATGAATTAATTTTTATTGAACTGAAGCACAAAATACTGTACATTCTGTGTATTTCTGTTTGTCTGGCTTGGATTATGTCTTTTCAACTTTAATATTTTGTTCTTTTACTTTTTTCTTCTCTTGCATTCTCCTCCTCTGATACCTAAGTTTTGACCACTGGACGGATAAATGCTATAATCATAATCAGTGCCACACAAACACAAAGACACACACACACACACTGTACACTTTACTTCCTACCATTCTCCACTTTGATCTTGGCTTTCTTTTTTATCTGGTCCAGTTCTGCAGCCTTAATCTGTTGCTCCAGCAGAGCCTCCTCCATCTCGATGTCGGTCTGGGTGGGGATTTTGTTTTCAAGATACTCCAACTCTCTTTCCATACGGTCTACACGCACAGACACGCTGTCCACCTGGCTCTTCACCTCTGATCTGTGGAGCAAAACACAATTTCATGTACACTCTTGTTAAATTGTCCATTAAGGATAACTGTTAAAAGAAGGTCTTTCAAACAGGCCTACCTCAGAACACTGAGAGAGGACAGATAACTCCTCAGTTCAGAGGAGAGGTCATAGGTCTTCTGGGTGAAGGTCACTGTGTTTTGCTCACATTGATTCAGACGCTCCTGATTTCATTGACACAAGAAAACAGTTATGAATGAAGAGGAAATAACACATTCTTCCTCTTATAAATGGAAAGGTGAATTCATTCAATAAAACAAAACCTTGCTTAAATCAGTACAGTTTTGCTGCTAGAGGCTTTCTTGGTCCACTATGACTACTGATTTATGGTGGCTAATCTTAGCTAATGCTAGCAAACTTAAGTCAAGCAAATGACTTTAGAATTCATATAAGCAATACAACACAACCTTGCTCGACTCATGCACTGAGCTTTCTGTACTGCTACAGCCTTACTAGGTCTGTTATACTACATTTTAGCATTTAACATCAAATAATTATAACTAATTACTATCACTAATTTCTTTATTCAGAAAAAAACAAGAAATTCTCTTATTAAACTGAACTTTTGAAAGAAGAAATAACACACTGTTCCTCTTACAAATGTAGCCTTAAGTCCAGCTCATAAGCAATAAGAAACGCCCTTGCTCAATTTAATACCTTCAGGTGTTTGCTAGCTTATAGTGGCTAATGATATCTAATATTTGTGCTACAGTTACACTACACCTTCAGGAAAAGTCTGGTTTAAAAGCATGAATCACTAACGTTAGTGATATGAAGTGTCTGAGAGCTTTCTGAAATTAAGTACAATATAGCACCTTACCTACTTTATCTCTACAGATCTGACTAACATATTTTCTATCTGTTGACTCAGCCAGATACCCATAACAAGAACACATTATCAGCCAGACAGCTAAGAGGATGCCAACAATATTGCAGCCAGATGATCTGAGTGTGGTGAGAACATAGTGCATTCTCAAATGTGTTAATCTGCTCAGTTTAAAGTCTGATGTTTCTAACAGCAAGAGAAGTAATCTTAATTTATACACAGCAGCACAAAACAGTAGAATATACTCTATATGTAAAGTCATGTATACTTAGCATTGCAATAGGCAATAGTAATGAGCCACCTACCTCCATCTGAGCCAATCTCCTCTCCAGGTACTGGATTATAAAGGCATCCTGGGATGAACCCTGGCTCTGGACTGAAGCCACAGTCAGACACAGAGATAAGAGAAGGGCAGGAACCACTCTGCCTGACATTACTGTAGCACTTCTGTCAATAACCTAGCACTCACAATTTTGCAGTAATAAAAGGCCCTGTCAGTGATGATGAGACGTTGCCCAGTATTTCTTTCTGTAGTGCTCCTGCAGCGTACAACAAAACACTCCAAACGAAAGAAAGAGATCAATCCATGTGGCTTCAGTCAATCTTGCTGTGTTGAAAGGAATCCTTGATGCTCCTTTAGTAGCTGAATATTACTTTTCCTCCTGCTGTGTTCAGAAAGAGTTTTCGTCCTGTTTGAGTTGTGGCTCCAGAACTTTCTGCCTTGTTTCTTTAATCAGTCGTTGCTCCAATGTCTTTTGGATCCAAGTGAGCCTCACCCACAGTCCCTCCCAGCCCCTTTCTCTCCAAGTCTCTCTGCGTGTCTCTCTCCCACCCTTCCCCTCGCTGCAGTTTGTGCATTTGAGGTATGAGAGAGAAAACCAACAGGAGGGGGGGAGAGAGAGAGACAGTGAGAGCTTGAAACAACCAAGACAGTTCATACCCTGTTGGTCAATCCTCTAGTTTTAGATTGTAATACTCTCCAGATGGCCCACTGACACGTCCTCAATTCTCACACGGAGCAGAAGCTGTTCAATAAAAATTGTTAATTTGTTTATATAAAGTAATGGGATGAGCACTACATGATCCTGTGTGACACACTGACATTCCTAAGTAGAAAAAACGACATTTCATTATAGAACACACTCAGTCTAGAAGTATTTTGTTAGACACAAAGAGTGTCCATTGGCAGGATTACAGGTTTTATTTTGATCCCATAGTCCCAAAGCATGCATTATACAGCTGCATTGTAATTTATTTCCTCCTAATTCTAGACCATGATATAAAAGACGTGTTATTATCTAATATCATCATAAACTCCCAAAGTAATAGTTATTCTGATCAGACTGAAGACATGAAGGGATATCTGACTCTGTAAATCCACAGTCTGAACATTTTGGCAGCGTGGTGTCCGGCCTTATTACTATTCCTGGTGATCCAGGTAATATTCTGACTGATTTATGTCCAAAAGTTGCCAGTGCCATCATGGGAAATTTGTGGTTAACTGCTGTTTTTATCTCCATCTGGTGCTTTTTAGAGCCACCTGGGCCTGTTTCCTGGGCGTTTTTTTGTTTTTTTTTGTTGTGGTGACAGACAACATCTGGTTGTCAGCCTTCAACACTGTACTGAATCTGGTGCATATTAAGCTCAGAGCTTCAATTGGAATAGCAACTGCTTGTGAACAACATAAGTGTAATAGAAAATAGGAGACTAACATGGTAACAAAGAATCAGAGATCTCATCTTCTTAACATTTTCTGTTCCGATCTTCAGTATTTTATCTTTTATCTTTTATCTTCTAAGACTCTGCATATATATCAAGTTGCTACCATAAGATGGCGCCATATCACAACAAGAATACGACCACATCACATACTACAATCTTACAACAGTAGGCCTTACCACATCACCCTCAACACAGCCGCCCACTGCACCCCACCACTTTACCTGTGGTCTGTAATTATAGCCTACTGCTAAATCCTCTGTTGGGTGCAGTGGTTATAATAAGGCAGCAGGAAAGCAAGAGGGAACTATGAGCCTAGTTCACAAGCTGAAATGTAATCTGCTGCTGTGGTTTCAAACCTTTTTGGCTTGGATCCCTTCAGAACAAAGCCGTGTGACTCTAAGTCACAGGTTTAATGCTGTATGAACAGTTTGAATAAAGTGATTTTCCCTTCTCAAACAGTTTGATCTGAATACTCTTTAATGGAATGAAGGGATAAAACTCTCCTCTACATCACAAGATAAAATGGATGAGTCAGTGGTGGAGGAAGTCGTCAGATCATATTGCTACTCAAGTAAATGTAGCAAGCTCCTGGTCGACCTGGGGAAGCAGCTGAAGTTCCCGGACATCGTTGCAGCTACCACACTAGGGCAGACATATTAACCAATGTCTGGGTTAACTAAGCAAGTGGTGTTGCTGGAGTTGACTGTTCCCCCTGGGAATACCGGATAGAGCAAGCCCAGGAAGAAAGGAGAAGGAGAAGGAGAAATGGGTGAAAGGTTTGCTGTGAACCAGTGAAAGTGGGATGATTGCTCAGGTCCAACATGTCACAGCAAATCTTTATGATACTGTAAATGCCAAATCTGTAAATCTGTGACCATCTCAAAAGAGAAAAATAAAGTCTATTCCCGCATTAAGGTACAAATAGCTTTGTGTTATGTTTCCATTTAAAGAGGCTTTCACAGTAAAATACCTGTATGCTGGTTCACTGTTTACCCCACTAGAAAGCATTCATTTCAAGGACTAGGTACCGTAGGGAGAGTTGAGGTAAGGTAGGGATTTTACCTTGTTTCAGGGTGATCGCATTACTCTTAACCACCCACTATGTAACCTTCTAGCTGTGCGCTAGCTGTGCACATGTGGACACACATGCCCCAACTGCACATACACACACACAATGAGATGTAACCTCATGAAAGATTCATTATAATTTGTGGAGGAGAGGAGACCTATAAAATATCCATAGTGTCTCAGCAAGACATCCGACTGGTTTCACATTCAGCACTGACAGGGGTAATCCCCAGAGCTTTGTGCATGTGCATGTGTGTGTGTGTGTGTGTATGTAGGTTTGTGTATGATTTTGTATTTATGAGTGTGTTTACAGTATGTTTGATTGATATTTACTGTATACCTTTCTGTTTTTAGTTGTGTTATCTGTGTGTGCACATGTACAATTGACCTTTCATCTTTGGTGGTATGCATGTGTTTATCTGTTATCATGAGGTTTTACATGTGTTCACATTTACTTGATGTCTGCATGAAACTGTATTTGTGTATGTATAGATAATCCTCTGTGTGTGTTCATGTAAGAGTGTGTGTGAGATAATATGCTTGTGTGCACTAGTATGTGAGTGTGTGTATGTGTGTTCGTGTGTGCTGAGAGACTGATGCCAGCTTCCCACCACCCTCTGTCTCTTGACCTTTCCTGCCAGTCTTTGTGTTTGGCAGATGATGAGGTTTTAATGCCAGCCAGTGCAGACAGGTTCTGCGTAAAGACAGCTGACTCTGTAGAGGCTGAATGGTGTGGGGGGACAGGAAGTGAAAAAAGACATATGTCCACCATATCACTCATAGTCCTCAAAACTGGTTCCTTATATATTTCTTTACTCAAGTGAATTCAATAGATTTTTTTTTAATAAAAAGAAGGATTTCAGGTGATGCTGCCCTCCAGTGGACATTTTAGAGACTGACGCAGATGTGTTTTTGCACTTTATGGAGTGAACCCACATCTGTTTACTTCCCTTTGTATTTTCCTTTGACTCTCCAATCACACTTCCTCTAAAATGTGAATCCCATTCACTCTGAGAACAGGTTAAGAATGGCTAATTCTAGTTGTAAACTTTCCTCCTTGATATATTAGCCACCAAATACAGTGAATTTGTAACTTATCCATCACCAATACAGACAGCAACTTTCTGACCTTGTATTATAGTACAAGTGAGTGAGGTAAACCTGTCAGCTTTAACGGGTATCTGACACAGCATTAGTCAAAAATGTATAAGGATGGCAGATAGCCCCTGCCTGAGCTGAAGAAGTAAAAATTATGTAATGTAGCAAGGGGAGATGTCAAAAGAAATCATGATAACATCTTTCAAACAGGAAAAAAGAACAGTGGTTGCAAGAACGCACAAAGTTAAATAAATAACCATCATGTCAAGAAAACAACACCATAAGGAACAGCCTCAAAAAGGCTGTCAATATCAAACAACACCTCTGTCAGTGGTGAAACAAAAGTCTGAGCTTTAGAGAATTGGTATTTACAACAGGGGTATTAGATTGATTTAAAATGCTTGCAGCCCAAACGTGGGCTCTGCAAACACAGAGCAGGGGATGTGGCTGCAAACAGCCTATGAATCTGGTGGATCCTGCTGTTAGCTGCTTTGGCAGGCCCTCCCAAAGCGGGGTGTGACACAGGGAGGTGGGAGTTGGACTGACTGTGTGGGTGCTGGGGCTGTAAACACACTACAGGAAAAGAGCTATATATATATGGAAACCATAAGGGCTGGTGGTGGGATGACATTAGGGTTGGGGTCTGCTATTAACATAGGAGGCAGGCCCAAGATCACCACTGGGAGCGGATCAAGCTGCCAGAGGAGGAATTGGACAGCAAACAGGGCTAGGGTTGGCTGCCTCCACTTGGGTTTGGATTGTGTTGTTAAAGTTTCACAGCATCTGGGCTGGTGGATTGTGACATTTTGCTGAAGCACGTTCCGTAAAATTTAGTGAGCTTCAGGCAAAGCCTTAAAAAGGTAACTAGTTATTTTTTCTGCCACTCTCCTGACGTATTTATCTTTCAAGCCCAAAGCTGTGGCCGTTACCTCTAGTCTATCCAGCAGTTAGAGGCTGATGTGAAACAAAAATCACTCCAGTGTTGGCTGACGAATTCCATCGTGAGTATGTTAGCATGCTGATGTTAGCAATTAGCTGATAGCACCACTAAGCACAGTCCCACAGAGCCACTAGCCCGGCTAGAGTCTGAGTCCTGTTTCTACTGTCTCCCTGCTATTCTTCTCTTACTCACATCTCCTCGTCCTATTCTGTATAAATCCTCTCGTATTTCCCATCATACAGCAACATGTACAATATCTGCTCTGTGCCAAAGTGTCCCCTTGTTCCTCACATTGTTTCACAATTTCTCTCTGACCTTCCCTTTCTATTCTCTCCCTCACTCCTTCACTTCATTTCTCTCTCTCTCTCTCTCTGTGGGTTGTCTGACTTCCCATGGTTCCACTCTTAAAAATTTCATTACCAGGACGCTCCCTGGTGCTGCAAGTCAAGGTGAATGCCATGTCAACCCTGGTATAGAAATTAATTAGGTTTAATTCAAGTACAACGCACTGCTACCTCACAGTAGCATTCCCATTGTCAGGAACTTCATTAGTCTCATCTGTAATTGCATTAGCGGGTATGTTTTGCATACAAGTCATAAATATATTGAAAAATGTCAAACCTTGTAAAGAACTGGATCAAACTCAATAAGACCAAAACTAAGTTGTATAAGCAATTGCATGCAAAAATATCACATGTGTAATTGTCATGTGAGTCAACATACTGTAGCTTTAAGATGCAAGATACTGTATATAGTTTCTCCTCTCTTCCTGTACCTATGCGCTTCATTGTTTTGAAAGTAAGACGAATACAAAGAACATATTACAACCACAAATAAATAAATAAAAATCACCACATACAAAAGAACAAGTACATAAAACAAAATCGGACACAAACATTAACTCAGACAGAAATACCTGTAGTGAACTCAATTGACTGGACATGATTTGGAAAGGCATACACTTGT